TATGTTTATAGATGGTAAGTACTCTTCTAGAATGTTCCATATTTGCACACGTATTTATATGTATTTTTTTCTTTACTACAGTTAATATACAAATTGTTGGAATGAGTGCAACAATTGGAAATTTAACCGAGGTTTCCACCTTCTTAAAAGCAGATGTATATACACGAAGTTTCCGGCCAGTGGAATTAAGAGAATATATAAAATGTGGCAATGATATATTGGCGATAAACTCGGCAGGCAAAACTTTAGAAGAAGTATTTGTTTACAATCGAAGCGTTGATTATAACGTAAGCTATTGCTAGATATGTATTCCCTGAACAGGGGGGTCTAAGTTTACCACGAGGTTTGTAACACTCAGAAGGAAACATCGAAGACTATACATTTTATACATATATAAATTAGGATTAGCCATGTTCGACGTGCCTCAGTTTTCGAGATATTGCTCGAAAATTTTGTACCTACGCTTTTTTCCGAAGAAGCTGATCTTTTGTCGAAATCGCCGATATCGCACCACTATAACATATAGCTGCCATACAAACAGAACGAAAATTTTTTTATTGGACAATATATCTTCACGAAATTCGGCAAAAATTATTGTCCAAAGTAACATTACAATATCCGAACAAAATTATTAGATCGGACCACTAAATCATATAAACAACACGCTCAAACTAAAATTTTTGTATGGACACTTTTATATTTGACGAGCTATCTTCACGAAATTTTGCATGGGTTATTATCCAAGGCAAAGCTGCAATTTTCGAAAAAAAAAATTCAAATCGGACCACTATAGCATGTAACTACCATACAAACTGAACGATTAAAATTAAATTCTGGTTTGGATACTTTTTTATTTGTGAAGGGTTATAGCAGCGATGCAATCGAATCAATCATCAGCAAACATTTTTTATTGTACAATTAAAATATATATTGTATTTATATTTTCAAAGGCATGTAATTATAATTTTACATTTATTTTTCAATATTTAGTATAGTGAATCTGTAGCACGTTCTGATCCAGATCACTTGGCTGGATTGGTGGCAGAATGTGCGCCCGAACACTGCGTGCTTATATTTTGTCCGTCGCGTAAAAACTGTGAAAATGTTGCTTTGCTGTTGAGCCGTATTTTACCCAAGTATTTTATTTACAAAAACAAAATAAAATAAAAATATTTCTCAACACATTTTAATTTATTTAGAAAATTTTTGCAACACCGCAAACGTGAAAAGCAGGATCTTATGGATGCACTGGATAAAGTGTGTGGAGTGCTTGGTAATGTGTTAGCTAAGACTATACCTTATGGCATAGCCTATCATCACTCCGGTCTGATAATGGATGAAAGGAAATTCATAGAGACTGCATATCGTTTTGGCGTCTTAAGTGTAATCTGTTGCACATCGACTTTGGCGGCTGGTGTTAATTTACCTGCAAAACGTGTCATAATACGTGCACCTTATGTGGGAGCCGAGTTTATGACACTCTGCCGCTATAAACAAATGGTCGGACGCGCTGGACGCGCAGGCATGGGCGAAGCTGGTGAAAGTTTTCTAATTACAACTAGTCGTGACAATGTACGTGTTGGCGAAATGCTATTTTCACCTATGGATAAGGCCATCACTTCTTTGGACTACGACAATTGTATTGGTTTACAAGTATGTGCAAATTTTATTTATTAATTACAAATTTAATATCTACTAAAATAAAAATCAACATTCGCACAGAGTTTGATGTTAAGTGCGATAGGTTTGGAAATTGCCGCCTGTCGTTCGGATTTGTATCGTCTGGTAGGCAGCACTTTATTAGCTGTCCAAGCACCACAACTAAAACTTTCCACCGAACAAATGGTGCTCCAATTAATTCGTGCAATGTTTAAGCATAAAGTACTGGAATTATGCTCACCAGCAACAGCTGTACAACGTAATACATCGAACATACTTACCACACAGGATGTAAAAAATGCAACCAATCACACATTACAAGAACATCGGCGACTTTTTATTAGTAAATCTACACGCTTTCAGCTGACAAATATTGGTCGTGCGGCCTTTAAAGCCGGCATTGACTATGAACGGACCTATGCCATACATGCCGAATTGAAATTAGCACAAAAACAATTAATACTAACTAACTATGCACACTTGTTGTATCTCGTTGTGAGTTTCAATTCAAATACAAAAGGTGATGAATTATTCCAAACTGACACTAATATCCTTTATCGCGCATATATGTTGTTGGATGAAACCACACAATCACTCTTCCATCTACTCGGTTTCACCGAAGCGATTGCTGTTAAAATGGCAAAAACCTTATCGGTACAAGGACCGTTAGAAGTGAAATTGAATCGCCTTTATAAGGTGTTGGTTTTGGTAGATATTTTAAATCTTACACCTATACATATAGTGGCGTCCCGTTATAACGTTGAACGTGGCATGCTGCAAACGTTAATCAATCAGTCTGCCGCTGGTGCTAGTGCAATAGTGCGTTTATGTGAACAATTGGATGACTTTTGGTGTTATAAATCACTTTTCGAGCGTATCCTCGCAAAATTAGATCGTTGTGGTACAATGGAGTTGGAAGCGTTACTTGATTTGCCAGCCGTTAAAATAGTAAATAAATGAAATTATTGTGTAAAAAATATATATTATCCGTTATTATTTTCAGAATCGCGCGAAACAACTTTATAATGCGGGTTTTAAGACAGTCGAAGATATAGCCAAATGCAAACCCATTGATTTACTAAGATCGGTGGAGCATATGCCAATGAAAATAGCCAAAGAAATCATCTCAGCAGCTAAGGTAAGCAAAGGTGTGATTTGATTTGTCTGATGAGGGGGATACGGAGCAATCCTGCTGCAAGCTGTTGCTCCAAGAATGGCAAACTTAACTTTATATACATAAATGATCAGGATTGAGAGGCGGGTGTCTGTTTGTCCGTACGTCCATCCGTCTGTGCAAGCTTTAACTTGAGTAAAAATTGAGATACGTTAAGGAAACTTGGTATACATGTTTCTTGGCTATTGTAGATGGGCGTAATCGGACCACTGTAATGCCCACAAAACGCCAATTTAAATTCCATCTGATTTTTTGACTTTCCAGTATGCAAATCAAGCACTAATGAATATATTAAAATAAAACTTTGCAAAAAATAGAGCCTTCAAGATATGTCAACTCAAGTTAAAAAGTTGTCAAAATCGGGCCATAACTGTTCAAGCCTCCATATACCAAAGGTGTGGACCCCAGCCTAAAATGGATTAAATCGGGTGAAAACGTATGGAGGCCCCATATAACTAATATCAGGATTTTCAAATATCTGGTTGATTTTATTCCTTATATATTGGTGATGTTATGTGAAGTACCTTAATGAAAGACAGAGAGCATATTTTTCTCTAAATAATATGTAGTAATGCTAAAACTAAATAAAATCGTCAAAAATAATAAAAATATTAGATATACTATAGTTTAATGCCGAAAATATGTGAAATTGGTCCACGAATTACCCAAACTCTCACATACTACATAAATGATTTTCGTTATATCGCCGCCTTTGATACTTACCAGTTGCCATACACTGTACTTATGTTATTAAAAGTATTTTTTTCTATAACTACTTTTTTTAAAAAGTCGGTGTGCTTTTTCTTTGCCGAAATCTCCATTTTCTGTTAGTTTCAAAAATGTACTGGTTACGTTATTATTGTATATTAATTTTTTCAGAACATGAAAATAAAAGATCTCAACGATTCAAGGCTGTTTTTTTACAGCGGCTACTACTAAATATCTGGTCGATTTTTTCACTGTAATCGCTTTTCAAAATTATTCGCAATAACGTTATTTTTTTGAGAAAATAGGAGAGCTGTGTGATGATGCGATCACTTTAAAAAAATTGAAAAACAAATTATTCTTATATTTCGTCTGATTATTTTGACTTTAATACATATGATCTTCATATGATATGATATGATATTTTTTCATTGCTTTGACGTTCTTCTGATTAACTCAGATTTCCTTTTTCAAGAATATATCTCGTGAATTGATTGTGTTGTTTTCCTTTTTTGTAGATTATATTAATGAAGAAATTGGACTATCTGGAAGAGGAAGCTGAAGCTTTGAAAATCTGCCTACAATAGCCTACCATTTAAACATGAAAAGTAAGCAAATGACACAAGCATTACTTTTACAGTATATTATATTACTTTATTTTAATTTCATTTCCACTTTGCATTATTTAATTTTCGCTTACGCTTAGCTACACAAAGTATATATATTTATCCAAAATTTAGAAAATACCCTATCATTACTATTATAACAGTGTAATTTTAGAAATTGCCAACATAAAACTATTATTTTGGAACAATTTAGTTACATTATCTCTCAGTATAAAAGATTATGCCATTTTTTAATAACAATTGTATTGTATTTAACTCAGTACAAAATAATTTACAAAGTATAAGTAAAGTATTTAGCGAATTAAGGGCAAAAAACTAAACGAAAACACTGGGAAAACAGACATTTGTATATGTTTAGTATAAAGTGTGTACGCAATAATTAAAATAAAAATTAATTAAAACAGAAATAAAAAGAGAACTCATTTAATTATGTTTGTATGTATTTTATGTGACAAAACTTTATAGAATTCTGTCTTTGCTATCACGAAAATTGAGTATTTAATTATTTATAAATTTTAAGCTTAGTTTACACACACAATCAACTAAAACTTATTACCGCACACATACATGTGTATGTATATATATATATAAATTATATTTGATGCTCCAACTAGCAATGCCGCATATTTTCAGCATCATATTATATCCTGTGGGTAACTAACTTCCGTTATGCTCTGCCAACGGCTTTAATTTTGCGTTCCAAAATGTAGATATGCAGATATTCGCGGAGTACAAGTATTTTTCATAACATCCCAAGGAATAAACGATACGTGTGAACATTTTCATATAAGATTTTTAGTTATCAAGTCGTTGGGCGTGTGCTGTGAGTTTTGTGTGCGTGGTGCTGTATAGTGTGGCTGTCATTAAATACACTTATATACATTTCTAGAGAGACCTTAAAGTGGAATGAATAGCAAAATTCTCATTATTGCATAAATATTTTTTGAAACGAAAACTGATTTAAATATTTTCTATGAGCGAAGAGTGAAAAAGCAACGCAACTGCATATTGCGGTTATGAGCGAAGATGAGCGAAAATATGAGAGCAAAATAATAATTATTGAAGCTTGTTTCTTGCCATAAACTTGTAAAGCTTAGAGTTGCACAATGCAAAGTAATGCTGTTTAGTATTTTTTTTTTTTTTTTGGAAAATTGAAAGAAAAGGTACACATTTAAGTTATACAGAATAAGTTTTGTTATTTTAAAAATCAACAGGCAAGTTAATTATGTCAAATGCCAACAAGCAATTGATAATAACGGCATATATTGCGTACACATCAAAGTTGCGTTTTTATATTTTTGCATTGCGTTAAGTCAATTTGACATATACTATTTATATAGAGAGCCTGGCTTGCTTCATCTATGGTGGAGAGCACCTAATGAATATGAGTGAAATGCGAAATCATGCAAATATCAAATTAGTACTGAATAAATAATTTTTGAAAGCATGCAAAATGATTTGCAATTCTTATGAATGCTTTGAAGACATACAATACATATAAACACACATCCGTATGTACAAGTATGTATGCAAATATGTTTGTTTTGTATGTATTAAGGATAGGTACATAGCATTTATGTATGTGATTATGAACAAAGTGGCCATGATGAATACATAATTGCCCTTGATGCTAACCTTTAGTATTCCAAATCATCATAGAAATGTTGGGCTATTCTCATGCCGACGCCCCTGTAGTCCGTTCGGCTGGAATACGGCTGTGGCGCTGCAACGACCGCGCGCCTTCGGATATCTGTTGATGAGAAATACGAATCGTCACTATTGTAGTCATTATAGGCACTTTGTTGTTGTTGTGGTAATTGTTGTCTAGTTTGTTGTTGCTGTTGTTGTTGTTGTACATGTAAATGTTCGGTTTGATGATGAATTTGAGTTTGTAATGATTTGGAATTTTGTTGTGGTTCAAAATGGGTTTGTGGTTGACTAAGCGATGGAGTGATTTGTGATTTAGTTTGATAACCATTTAGTTGTTGATGTTGATGTTTATGTTGTTGGTATTGTTGTTGTTGTTGTTGTTGCTGATATTGATTATTGTTATTGTTATTGTGATAGAGTGTGGGTGATTTATTGTTATTGACAAATGTACCGACGCCCGTCTCCGATGCGAATGCATGCTCAAAAGCGCCATTGTGAATCGTCGCATGATTGCTGTGTTGCGGCGAAAGCGGTTTAAGCGTCGGATTGAGTGCGTCATTCAACGTGACGTCATAGTCGGTTTCGTAGAGCTCATCTAATGTAATTTTAGGTTGAGGCTCTGGTCGCACCTGCGATGCCGGCAATGCGCTACGCGGTGGCAATGTAGTACGATGCGTTTGCGTTATATGTAGCTCTCTATCTCGTTCATGTTCACGTTCACGTTCCCGTTCGCGTTCGTATCCGTTTGAGTCATGTAAATGAGAATTAATTAGCGTGGTCCCTGAAGCACTACCCGAGTCTCGCAATATCGGCGCACCATGTTCAAGTAGACGAACCCCCGAGATTGTAGAACCCATATCGATGGGACTAGTATCCGTTGTGTGCGAGCTGAGTGGCTTCAGAGCCACACCAACCGGTTGTAGGCCACGTGGCAGGTATGGACTACCACCGCGCGATGGTAAAAATGGACGCTTAACAACACGTACCGTTGCAGTGCGTCCCGAGGGTGAGTGACCGGAACCTTTGCTCAATGTAGCGGGCGCCGATGGTTCCTCCTCCTCCTCTTCTAATTCGATGTCAGATGCGGCATCTTCGATTGGTGCCGCTGTTGTCGTACTAGTTGTGGTTTGTCGCAAACGTGCGTTACTTCCAATACGAGCGCGATTTACACTTACGCGATTTCGTTGCAGTGGTTCGGGTTCGGGCTCGTCCTCGTAAACATCTTCTTCTTCTATTGGACGTCGCGGTTTTTTGGTACCTTTGCGTGCGGCTGCCTTTGGCCTTAACCGATGCGTCGGCCGCAGTGGCCGCTCTTCGTAGTCATCATCGACAAAGTCGACATCTTCAGCACCACGACCAATGGCGGGACCAAAAGAACTGCGATTTCTCGTGCTAAAAGGACGCTTCCGGTTGCTGGTATGACTGTCGACAGGTTCATCAGATGCGCCAACACCACTTTCGTAGTATTCTTCATCTGTAGTGGACACATGTTTTTTCTCAGTTGTTGGTCGACGAATCGTTGTACGCGAAGGCTTCTTTATTAGAGGTGTATCATTATGATTACGTCTCTTCGAATTGGGTGCTTCTACTTCTTCATCTAATTTGCTATCTACAACACGTCTACGCGGTGGTACACGTTGTGGACGTACATCATCGTAGACTTCGTCCTCATAGTAGTCATCTGCGCTTGCGTGTGTAGCTTCGGGACTAGGAGTCGTTCCAGTTTTCTGTATGGGATATTGAAACTTTTTCTTCTCATTCAGCGGCACCGGACGCGCTATGCGTGGAGGTGCTCGTGGTCGTGCGTAAACGGAACTACTACTAGCCTTCGGTGTGATAAATTCTTCCAATGGTTTGGGTGTCGTTTTTACTTTAGGAGGCGCTTCTTCTTCGGCAGCCTCCTCCTGATCGGGTGCATTGGCTGGTCGCTTTTCGAAATCATCCAAGTCATCGCTGTTTGCTGCCGATGCACGCTTCTCATTACTTCTACGTCGACCATTTAGACGACGCGGTGGTGGATCTGCCGCATCAACTGGATCTGCTGATGGCGTAATGCGCGATTTATCCTTCCGTCCTGGCTGTGCACGATCGTCACTTAAACTGCGGCGCTCGTCGCCACCTAAACGACCCCCGCCTGTCGTAGACTTACGACCACCAATTTTTCGTCTATCTGACGCTTTGTTTCGTGTATTGGTTCTATCATATTTGCGACGATCAGTATCGTAATCCACTTCCAATTCCTCCTCATCGCGAAAACGATCGCGCGAATTATGACGCCTTAAGAGAGGGTAAAACGTTAATTAATGCTTGTGTACAAAAGTTAAATTGTTCTCTACTTACCTTGGTTTATCATCTCTGTAATCTTCTTCATAATCTGTGACTGGTTTTCGCTGTCGTGGTCGTGGCTTGCGCCGACGATTCAAACGTTCTTCATAATAATCATCTTCATACACTGCCGCCGGTTCTTCCTCCTCATCATAGTAATAATCATCAACCGGCCGACGATTCACGGGACGTCTTAACGGCCTCAAAGGTCTTACCAGCCGTCTACGTGGTGTTGGTGGTGGTGCCTCCGTACTGCTTGTTGTCGTCGTTTTTGGCGTTGTTGCCATGTAGAGATCATCATTTCTGTGGTGAAATGACAGCTATTATAGATACATATATAACTTATTTAGAGTTTAATTTAGATACCTATTCCAATAATTCTTCGAACCTTCACAGTCGACATCAGACACAAAGTGACAAATAAATGTCCGCTGATCGAATGCTGTAAAATTGGCGCAGAGAAAATCATGCCTGATACCATAAACACAGTGATGATATACCTGGAATAGAAAAAACGCGTTAGAGGGATATAGATATGTATATTTAGATCTGACTACTTCGTCGGAGGAATTAGAGGGTAATATTGCCAGGCTTAGTACAAAGAAATCTATTAATTTTTGAGAAAAAGTTAGAAATATAAGATTTTGTACTATTTAAAAATACTTTTTAGAGAATATTGTGATTGCTTGATTCAGTATTGTTACAACACACGTCAAAGATGGACACCAGCAAAAAGAAAATACTATAAAGGCGAAAAAGAAAGTCAAGTCGCTGAAAATGTGCATAATGTTTCTGTTTCTGTAATAGCAAAACACGCACAATTTTAGTAACGATTGCTTTCCAGTAACACGAGGTAACGCCAAGAAACCTCATGGCCGGGTTTCCAATCGCGTATTCATTTCTGAAGCGGATGGTTACTGGTAATAGAATGTGGGTTACTTATGATAATGTCAAGCCAAAATAATCGTGGTCGAATCATGGTAAGCTGGCGCAATTAGTGGCAAAGCCAGTTGTGTGTTTAGTGGATTTGGCAAAAAATCATCTACTATGAGAGTTGCTCTCCATCGACTGAACTCTTAATTAAAACTGTCAACAATTGGCCCATCTGAAGGAAGCAACAGCCTAGAGCAGACAACTAAGACCATTGGAAGAGAAATTGTGTGCCATGAAGGCAATGTCGGGCACACATATCGATAGTGACTGACCAGAAACTCCGGACGCTTGGTTGGGAGGTTCTTAGGTCTGAACCTTGCACCAAG